CAATAATAAATGCCCATGCACCAACTGAGGAGAAGTCGGATGAAGAAAAAGAACAATTTTATGAACAACTGGAAAATATCATACAACATTGTCCTAGAAATGACGCAAAGGTCTTAATAGGAGATTTTAATGCAAAGATAGGTAAGGAGAGGGAATACATGCCAACCATTGGAATTCACAGTTTACATGAAGAGTCAAACAACAACGGAACTCGACTAATACACTTAGCCTCCTCAATGAACATGGTGATTGCCAGCACATGCTTCAAGCACAAAGATATACATAAGGGAACATGGAGAAGTCCAGATGGGAATACAATAAACCAAATCGACCATGTGGCGGTTGACGCAAGACACTTCAGCGACGTGATACACGTACGTGCAAAACGCGGGGCGAACATAGACACGGACCATTACCTACTACAAGCTAAACTAAGAGCTAGAATCTCCAATGCAAAGAAAGAAAAAGGAGTTAAAGAGGAAAGGTTAAGTAGAAGCGTTGAGGAACCCTGAGATAGCTAAGAGATTCAAGGAAAGTCTCGAAAGCAACTGGAAGGCTGTACGGATGATATAGTTGAAGATATTGACAACTATTGGAGGCAGTGTAGAGCCATATTGGAAGAAGTGGCAACTGAAGTTATCGGAAAGCAAAAATGCAAAAAATTAAGGTCGGACTGGTACGATGAGGAATGCGCACAAGCAACGCAAAGAAAAAATCAGGCATATAGAAGACTCTAAGGGCGAAGAACGAGACGAACAGAGGAAGAGTATAGGCAGCTGAGACGAGAAGAAAAACGAATACTTAAAAAAAAAGAAGAAAGAGCATATAGAGAGCAAACTAAAAAACTAGAGAGCCATAGGGCACAAGCAGAAACGCGAAAGTTCTACAAGAGGATTAACGAGGACAGGAAAGATTATCCAAGATTAACCAAGATTATCAATCGTTAGAAATAGAACAGGGGAGATCATTGGTGATCAGGACCAGATACTAGAAAGGTAGGCAGAAAACTTCGAGGAAAGGTTAAATATAAGAGGTGAGACAGGGCTCCACGAATCAGAAATCCAACTCGAGGACATTGACGACGAAAGAGAGAAAGATAACATCCCAACAGAGGTAGAAGTCATCCAAGCTATACAAAATTGAAAGAAAACAAAGCTCCTGGGGCAGATGGCATTCCTTCAGAACTTTTAAAGCATGGAAAAAAACCTGACATACTGTATATGTAGACTGGTAGAACTGATCTGGAAGCAAATAAAGTTGCCAGAAGACTGGAATGTAGGTATAATTGTACCTATCCACAAGAAAGGAGATCAAACAATATGTGACAACTACAGAGGAATAACCCTCCTAAACGTAACATACAAAATATTGGCATATATTCTTTACGACCGACTATCGGATATTGTGAAGACATAATAGGTAAATATCAGTGTGGGTTTCGTAAAGAAAGATCAACGACCGATCAAATATTCCTTCTAAGGCAAGCTCTGGAAAAAACATATGAGTATGGCATTGATACTCATCACCTGTTTGTTGATTTTAGATGTGCCTATGATAGTGTTGAAAGAAACGCACTGTACAAGGCCATGATAGAATTCAGCATACCCGTACACTTAGTAAAATTGGTGAAAGCGACCCTCTCAAGAGTCGAGTGTAAAGTTAGAGTGCAGAACGGAGTTTCCAGAAAGTTTCAGTCTCAGATAGGACTTAGACAAGGAGACAGCCTATCATGCCTTCTATTTAATATTGCACTAGAGAAAGCGATAAGAGAATCTGGAATAACAACCAGAGGAACTAATATTAATCGCAGCATACAATTACTAGCGTACGCCGATGACATCGACATTATTGCAAGAAGAAAGGCGGACGTGGTTGCATCACTCAATGCGCTTGAAGCAGCAACAAAAAGAATGGGACTAGAGGTTAACACTAGTAAGACGAAGTAGTCAGAATAATGCAGTAATTGCAGAAATTAACAGACGGATATATCTGGCAAATAGAGCCTATTATAGATTAAACATTTTTTTTAACAACAAGCCTAGTTACAAAAAGAACGAAACTAGTGATATACAGAACTCTTATCAAGCCCATCCTCACATACGCGTCGGAAACATGGACGATAACAAAGAGCGATGAAGAACGTTTAAGATGCTTTGAGCGTAAAACCCTCCGGCATATCTATAGAGGAGTACAGGAAGGCGAATTATGGCACAGACGCTATAATTTCGAACTTTACCGCCTGTATGACAAACCTGATATTATTAGGTCCATCCAAACAAACCGGCTGCGGTGGTTGGGTCACATAGAGAGAATGAATGAGATGGAGCCGCCAAAATATATTTATAATCAAAGAATAGATGGAATGAGAAGGAGAGGCAGACCAGAGCACGATTTAAGGATCAGGTGGAGGAAGACTTGAGAATGTTGGGAGTACGAAACTGGAAAGTCAAGGCGAAGAATAGGGGAGAATGGAGACTTATCCTTGAGCAGGCCAAGACCCACCATGGGTTGTGGAGCCAATGATGATGATGACAGGAAATTTTCTAAAAGATACCATATCAACTTAACAAGCTGTATCTTTTATGTATTGAAATGATTCTAATATTCATTTATAAGAGTAAATTTACCCGAAATATGCAAAGTATTAATACCGAATAATTTCGATTAGATGGCACTGATGTTTCTTTGAAATTTTAATAATGTGTTACATTTATACTCATATATTTCATCGATAACACAAAGCAGACAATGAAGCACAAAATAATATGCTCATTACTATCATTGCTATCATCTTTTTTTCTTGTATCCCTACGTAATTACGGATTTCCTTCTCCCTTAATAATTTTTTTAAATAATTTAGGTGACAAATGGATTAGGTAAATTGAGATGCCGCAAATTACTAATATGTCAGCAGTTGTAAACATCCTTTATTTAAGAATATTTGTTAGTAGTATTTAAAATATATTCAAGAACATATACGAAGAACACGAATAATATATTTAAAATATAATTTATTTTTGTAATCATCCACTACTCTTTCTCATTAAAAAGGAGCTAAAACATGCAGAAAATTTGAACAATAAAGTTAATTTTATATGGGTACCTTCACATACTGGAATCGAAGGAAACGAAGTTGTAGACAAAATAGCAAAAAATGCACCTACTAACTAACCCAAACGCAGAAGAGAATACGAAATCTCTTCACACCGACCTGAAAACATTATTTAAATAAAATATTAACTCAATATGGCAGGATACATGGAAGAACTCCCCAACCAAGCTGTACGAAGTTGATATTAATCATCAAAACTTCCAAAAATTTGACAATAGAAGAGAACAAGTAACCTTCACTTGCCTCCGGATTGGTCATACTCGGTTAACACACGACTACCTACTAAAACGTGCTGATAAACCTGTGTGTGACATGTGTAAAAGTGTCTTACCGGTAAAGCATTGTTTATTGCAGTGCCCCAAGTATGATGTGCAAAGCAAAATGTATAACATACCATTAACATTAAATAGTGCTCTTGGAAAAGACAGTGATACTAAAAATGTTTTCGCCTTTCTCAAAGACTGCAAACTGTTATCAAAAATCTAATATTTTACTTTGTATAGATTTAGATGGAATAACTGTAGAAATGCTAAAAAATGGGGGAAAACTACAGTGGAAGTAGTACACTTTATGTACTAATGAATAAAATATTGAACACAAAACAAATACCCACCACATGGAACGAGGCAATAACACTATTACTATTTAAGAAAGGCGATAGAAAAGATCTGAAAAAATATAGACCCATAACGCTACTTAATGTAATGTACAAACTGTTAACTAAACTACTAACAAACAGATTAACAACTAAGTTAGATAATTACCAGCCAAAAGAGCAAGCCGGTTTTAGAAAAGGATTCAGTACAAGCGACCATCTGTTTACGATAAATTAATTGAAAAGGCCAACGAATATCAAATCCCAATGTATATGGCATTTGTAGACTTTGAAAAAGAATTCGATAAGGTGGAACATTGGGCAGTAAAGAACTCTTTACAAAATGGGAGATTAGACTATATATATGCAGACTTAATTTCCAATATATATATATAATCAAGCAACAACATCCATTAAAATAGTTGAACAAACGGAGCCTATTAAGATACGGCGAGGAGTCAGGCAGTGTGACACTATATCACCCAAACTATTCAATCAAGCTTTGGAAGACGTTATGAGGAAATTACAATGGGAAAAACGGGGTATTAACATAAATGACCAATACTTGAATCACTTGAGATATGCAGACGACATCGTATTAATAACAGATAAAAGGTTCTCAAACTTGGACGTTACAAAGGAAAACATGAAAAAAATAGTAAAGACCCAAATAGCCATGGAAAGGCAAATGCTGAACATCAGGCTATCAGACAAGAAAAGAAATACTTGGGTCCGAAACAAAACAAAAGTGACCGATGTATCAAGGCAGATATCAAAACTTAAATGGAAGTTCGCTGATCATATCATAAGACAGATTATGACATTAAGACACGATTATACACTGGAGATCATATAGTTACAAACAAAAAAGAGGAAGGCCACAAATGAGATGGTCAGATGACTTGAAGAAACATGCAGGCATGAAGTGGATACAAACTGCCTACAATAGAGAGGCGTGGAAAAAGGAAGAGGAGACCTATGTCCAAAATTGGACAGCAAGGGCTGTATAGATAGATAGATAGATAGATAGATAGATAGATAGATTTAGGTTTATTTCTAATTATGTATTGCTATGGTTAATATTCTATTGTTAAGTTCTAACTCTGTATCACAATCCACATACGCTAATAACCCTGCGTGGTTGATGCGTCATGTACAGAAAAAAAAATATAGTTTTATTTTCTTCAGGTACAATTTAATACCTTTCACATTTGATTTTGAAAATTTTGTTTTGTTACTTCGTAATACATATTTGGTGATGCATATAAATAAAATGAATTTGTTATATTTTAGGATACAGAAATGTTTGCAGATGAACTAATCAAACCTATTTTGGGATGCATGGCAGATCAAGATTTACGTGTACGTTATTATGCTTGTGAATCATTGTATAACGTTGTGAAAGTATCTAGAGGAGCTGTCTTAAGGCATTTTTCTTCTATATTTAATTCTTTAAGCAAAATGGCCACCGATCCCGACCAAAATGTTAAGAATGCTTCCGAATTACTCGATCGTCTTCTTAAGGTTAGTATTTATAATAGAAAAGTGTTGTTTAAATATATACATATTAATTAAATACAACTAATGTCAATTATGATGAGGTTGCTGTCGGTTGCCTGAATGACCTAATTGATTGAAAGCTATGAATTCATTCAGTGGCGTATCTGCAAGTGTTATTTAGTAGTAGTAGTACTTATGGCCCTGTTTTATAGAGACTATTAACTAAGCCAATGCTTTTAAATGGGCCCTTTTAACACAAACAAAAACTTTGCAAACCAGTAAAAAATATATAAATACTTAAGATTATATTTAAAGTTTTATTTTTATGGATGATTTTAAGCCTTTAAAAATATTACTAAATATTAAAATAATGAAACTCCTTAGCTATAGTAATATTGTAACAATAGATTACTGCAAAAGAGAACAACCCAATAAAGTAGGACTAGCCTGATAAATTGCATCAACTAGTTTGTAAATCATTTTAATGAAGTATAAATAAAAAAAATCACTTAATAAATATTTAGTAGCCTTTAAATTGAACCACACTTAAATTTTAAACTTGCGAAGGAAGCATCCGAAGAAATAAAAATAGGAAAAGATTAAGGTTTAGCAGGTTAAGTGCCATGAGAAGCCAACACGGACTCACACATAAATGTGCCGCGTGATGCCGACGTGGACTCACGCCAGATAGGTCATCAGAAAATGCTGTGTAGCTCAACAGCGACTTCTCGAACTCATTTAAAGTACACGGGGACATTTCGAGCCCGGCCAGATGGCTGAGAAAGCATACTTGGCCTGTGCTTCTGAGATGTCAAGGAGAACTCACATGGCCCATAAGATTTATAAGTAACAATTGCGTAATTATATATATATATATATATATAATATATATATATATATATATATATATATATATATATATATATATTGTTATATATTCATAGTAAGAACAAGTTTTTATTCAAAAAATGACTGATGTGACAATAAAATCTCCGAATTGGCCCCGACTTACCTCTTCCTTAAATTTGGTATTCGTAATGCTTTCATTGGTAATGCTTAGGCATTTAAAAGTGCTGTGTCAGTCAAGAGCTCCATCGATAATTTTCTGCGTCATTTTATTCCTTTACGTAATGGCGAATTATAGTTTTTTATTTGATCTGATATATCAATGAAGCTTTTATATTTATTATATTCTATGATATTCTTTGGCTTTACAACATCACCGCGTGCCTTCTGCATTGTCACCACTTCGTCATCGAATTTGGTACTAATCATCAACACATCTCGCTTGTCCCTACACTTCTGAACAACGGTGCCCGAATTACTTTGTTCAGCTACATGTTCGCCTACTTTTAATTTTTTGGAAATGACGTTTTTGGGATTATATTTGCGGTTTACACGTAGCGTACCAATCATAGTTCATTTGTATGTGTGACATAACTATATTAGTTATCAATCGCAAGTGTTCATCCTTTGTCAAGCAGTCCATCCATCCATTCAGGTTCATCACTACATTTTTTGGTACGGTACGGTTTTGCCTAACCTAACCTAACCACCTTCAAAAGTTTAAATAATTTATTCCCAAATTTGTGCCCCTTGTTAGCAATATACTGCTTGACTTTTAGTCGCCCTTGAAAAGGCATCAAAGTTTCGTCAATGCACACGTGTTCCTTTGGAACGATGGCAGCCTTGAATTTATCCTTCAGTCTGCTAACCAAGGGAACGATCATCTGCAAACGGTCATCTGTTGTTACTGAATTATCGTTGAAATGCAGCGTTTTCCACAATAACTGGAAGCGATTCCTTGACATTACTTTTTTGATATTATTCACATAAAGTTCATTCTTTCACCAGTACGAATGAAAAGATGGAAAATGACATAATCCCATCCATATAACTATTCAGGAACCAAAGACTTTTATTTCGGCAACATCAGTGTTGTGACTTTATTTCTGATTTCTTTCCTGACACTGCAGGCCATAACGATTTGTTTCTTCGACCTAAAAATTAAAGAATAATCAAAATCAGTTGAACAAAATAAATTAGATATTTATCATCATGGATAAAAGACCATCGTCTACAAAATATTCGTAGAATTAAAAGGGCGATTTGTTGTAGAAGTTTTCGTATAATTTTGTATGAAAATCTGCAGTCCTCAAATGTATTTTTCTGTGAATTTTCGCTGTTGACCGGCTCCCAGATAATAGCTTCATTCATTGCATTGGACACTACTGGTTCTTCTGAAATTTCGTGTTCGGAAACTTCAGAATGTTGGGCAATGACATATTCTATGGCAGAATCAACATGTTCTCCGAAATTGGCATATTCTTTTTCTTTACTGGTGGACGCCGATAAATCTTGTCCCAATCTTGGTATTTCTGGCGACACGTTTTCTTTTTTTACTCTGTTCCAAAGTACTCGATTTATTTTCACTGCCACTAGAATCAGTTGGTTGGAACTCGTTCGAATGACAGGTGTCGCCAAACTCATCCGATTCTTCAGCTGACAGAATTTCTTGCCAATATTTTTCAAGTTTTAGTTGCTCTTTCTCGTACAACTGTATTGTACCGCTCTAATCTAAGTACTGACAAGAAAAACGCAAGCGACGGCGCCTTCGCTTGTTAGATTTGTACGTTATCAACAGGATAAGACAAGTAAAGGCGTGATGCCACGTCGGACTCTCATAGGCATTTTGTGATAAAAATCTTGCTGGTAGCCGCGAAACACAACGTTTACTCATATTTTGAAAAATGAAATTTTAACCAAAATTCGTATTTTAAAGTGTTTGTAAAGTAAAGTGATTTTGATGTGAAATTTAAATAAAGTAATAGAAATACTTAAAAAAAAGTTCGGGGCCAATGAAGACATTATCATAGTGGCACTTAACCTATTAAAGTACGATATAAAACTGTATAATCAAGTTGAAATATATTTGGCACGTGGTACAGCAATATTTTTTTTTACTAAATTTTTGAGGTATGCAATTAAGTCTAAACGCCTCTAACGTATTTTAATACATGAACATTGTTGGATATTTTCTTGGAAATTAATAAACAATTTACCTTTGGTTGTTACACTATTGAACTGAATGATTCTGAAATTACAATATGTTATATACTTCTTTGGGAATAGATAACTGGTGATTATTATTATTCCAATGGCATCTTAAATTAATATTTTAAATAAAATCTAATTTGAAGACTACTAATCTTTTTATTACAAAAAAATAAATATTTCTTTCTTTAGTTCTACGTTAAAGATCAGGATATTTAGGAGGGAGACTCCTTTCTCCCTCCTGTTGCCGACAAGAATGTAGCTTTGTCCAATTTTAAATAATTTTAAACTGTCCTTGTTTAGTGTAGTGTTTGTACAATTTTATGTTTAAGGCTGTTTTAGCAGTCAAAGCACACTGCGATTTGAAATGGGCGTATCACTTACTTTTCTACACTGCTTACGCCAGAAAACGAAGGGTACAGCTGTTTACTCAGTAGCGCCGGCCGACGGGTAGTTTAATGACAACAAATGCATTATTCTCCATTCAAATTAGTTTTGTTGGGAATACCTTTTTTGACTGATTATCGTAGATGTTTTAAAAAGAATTATCACATTTTTAGTTTATATGTCTTAGCTAAATATAGTATTGAATAAAAATTTGTGAAACATGACTGCAAAAAACATCATGGTGTTTATTTATAATAAATTTAAAATAACATAAAAATATTATTATCAAAAAAATACAATTTGTTGTCACAAACAAATAAACAATTTCGCAGTTATAGCTTGAAAATGATTTCAAATCGAACTAACTGACCGTACGTTCATGAGATTTGACGTCACGAAGCCGATACCGGTGAAACTAAGTGCCAATGATGAGTAACACGTTTCACTATCAGATTTCAGTATTTTTTTAGCAATTTTCTTCAAAGTTTGAACACGCTTTTCTTGATTATTATTCTACACAGAAAGGTGAAAAAAAAATCAACGATTACAGAAAAAAAACTCTTTCGAGTGATGAGCGTAAAACGTTTGGTTATAATAGAACGTTAAACTGCATAATCCGATATTTCAAAAGAACTTTCAAAAAAATTAAAAAGTAAAACCATTAGTTTAAAGGCAACATAATTTTGAATAACGTGTCCAAATTTCGAGATATTGTCTCTAGGTTTTGGTGTACCAATAGAACAGCCTTAATGTTATGTTTATGACATTCTGCACTTGTTGGATAGCCCAAAATTGACAAAATGCCCCTGATGATACTTTAGATAGCGAAAGTACTTGGGCAAGATTAAATTAATAAAAGTGTGCTCGATATCTGCCTTTCATTTTATCAAAGTTCATTTATTCGAGCATTCAACCTTATTTCAATGTATTTAAAAGAGACTATTAAGGGTGATTGGAAATAAGTACTAACGGCATTTTATATTAAAACGGCAGAAACTTTGTAACGCGGTCATAAAATAATATCTTGAGAAATGTTTAGAAAAAAAATGATAAACGACTATACTGGGTGTTTTACAAAATGTGTGGCCTGTTTTTGACACCTTACATAGTAGCTATGCCATTTATTATACCACCATTTCATAATTGTAAGTTTATTTTCTTCAAAGATAATACCTTGGCAGACTTTTTTATAAACCTGTATAGTAATAGTCTGCCTTAGAGATAAGCGGATCTTATTAAGATTAGCTGTAGTTAAATTTTTAATTTATAAAGAAAATGGCTTAAAAAATGTCTTTATATTATGAACACAGTTTTAAACGATAACAATTATATATTTTTTTTAGGAAATCGTCCTGGAAAATACTATGTTTGATTTGCAAGGGTTCATTCCATTACTAAGGGAAAGAATCTACACGAAAAACCCATTCTCCAGACAGTTCATTATTTCATGGATATCAGTATTGAATTCTGAACCAGGTCTTGACTTAATAAATTATTTACCAGAATTACTTGATGGTTTATTTAGAATTTTGGACGACTCCAATCTCGAAGTGAAAAAAATGTGCGAAACAATCTTGGGAGAATTTTTAAGGAAAATCAAAGCAGAGCCAACTAATGTTAATTTTGGTGGCATGATCAATATACTTATTAATCATGCCCAAGAAAAAGGGGACGATCTTGTGCAGGTTAGTCGCATAATTTATGATAAGAAATATAAGAGATAAGATCAATTTATTCAAAAACGAAGTTTATATATTCTTTATTTTTCAGTTTACTTCCACTCAATTAGGGTGACACATTATTATGTCTCCTTCAATATATTTTTCCCAATAATATTTGTTAGATACCATTTTCAGATTTCTTCACATTTTTGTATTCTGTTATTTTTGGCATCTGCTCCATCTCTTTCCTGATTTCTCAGTTTCTTATTGTTGTATACAATAACTTACTTTTGCCGAGATAATTTTTTGTACGCCTTATGCACGAGTGCGTGCTGTTAATTGTTATTGTTATTGTAACTAGTATTAGACAATCGGCTAATTTAAAGTAGGAAAAAGTGTAATGAGAAGTTACTATTATACCTTAATATAAATGATGTAATAATAAATCCCGTATTTTTTAAGCTGTAAATAAGTACAATTCTGCCTTTTCTTGATCAATATGATTTAATAAATGAACCAGCGCAAAGGAATTTTACTTTTGGCCATATCTTACAACTTTTCCTCCTTAATTACTATTTAACTGGGAATAAGTCACAATTAAAGATAAAAATACGTTTATTAACGTCTCAATTTCCACTTCGAAAATCGTTCTCAAAACACAAACAGTAAATTAATTAATTTAAAATGCCACAAGAAAATAGATTCAGAACAATACTTTCCCTCCTTGTCACATTGTATGGCTTTAATTATTTTTTTCGCTCAAATTTCCTACTCTTCTTGGTCATATGGAATGTGTCCATTATCTCTTTTTCTTGGCCATTATCTTCTCCATTTATTTAATAACTTTTCTTCTATATCTTTTTGGTTCCTTTCTTTCTTTTTGTCATTTCTTTTTTGTATCCCATGAAAAATTTCTTGTTTTATACTTATAAATTTCATATTTTTAAATGGAACATATGGCAGTATAAATAGAACCAGACCAAAATATTTATATCCTTAAGATATAAATAGATCTTAAATACATCGTATGGTTTTAAGATATAAAGATACGAATATGAAGATATTTTATGAGGCAGTCACGAGATCTACAGTTTTAAAAACGAAAAGCAAATTATAAAACTAAAAAATAAATTAAATCCACTTCTATCTAGTCCAGTTGTCAGAGATTTGACCTCTAACTTTTGCTGTGAATGTCAATTTTGGGATCTCAAAAAAGATGTAAAAGAGTTTACCTACCTACCGCCTAAACCCCCCGTAAGAAAAACGAATAACATCGATTTCCTAAGAATCTATATGCCACAGAAAAAAATATTTCAAACAAATGTTTCAAAGAAAATTTTGCTGAGGTAGTTTTGAACAAAAATATTTCTAAGCACTTTTTGTGTTCAAAAGCACTTCATATACACATATTCATGTGTATATGAATATACTAATGAATATTCATTGCATTTTCAGACTTTTTAATGACTTGATGGATGCAATTCTTTCATAGAAGTTTTCTGTCTAAATAAATACCGAGATATACTACATTAATTTTTGTATTCAAAAGGTAATACAATTTTTTTACTAAATAAAACAAAAATGCATTATGGATGTGCCCCCATGATTATTTACTAAAGCTTGCAGTCTTCGATGCCACTGTCCAATTGATCGGTTCAAAATTTCTTGGTCGAATTGGTTGGAACAAAAAATTATCCGACGTTTTAATTCATCGATAGTGTTGAAAATAGAGTTTTCGTGAACACATGGTTTCTAATGTACTGAATATTGTAATCAACCGGGTTAAGATCAGGCCTATTTGGAGGCTATAAGTTAGGTTCAATTAAATCTGCAACTATGTTATCGTACTCTGGAAGTATGGGATGGCACGCCATCGTGTTGAAAGGTGAAGTCGTGGATAATATTTTCAATATAAGCAAGCATATTGCTTAAAATATCTCTCTTAAATTTCAGAATTGATTTTAACACCAGCGTCTACAAAATAAATTTCTGTTTTTCCCATCATTGATACTGCTAGTGAAACCATCACTGAGGCGAAAAATGACTCCTTTGAACTAAAAGTAAATCTAGCGGTATGCCATATTTCTTTCGAGCATCAGAGTCAACCCTATTGATTTTGGGAGGTTTTTTGGTTTACGCAATAAACAAACTTTTTCATCTGAAAACCAGATTTTTCATTTCTTGTCTGCTTCTAACCTCCTTTATAACTGTTTACTTCTTTCAAATCTTTTATTCCCTGTATCTGCAGACATTTTATGACAATAAATTCTTTTCAATGGCCGCTTATTCAAGTCCTGCTTTATTATTCTAGGCACAGTTACGTTTAATGTTTGATATTTTTGATATATTTTTTTTAACTAATAACATTATTTTGTCAAACATTGTCAAGAATTTCCCTTACTATGGCAATATTTTCATGACTTCTGCCAGTTTTGTTTTTCCCCGCCCTGATTTCAATTTAATGGAACCATCATTTTCTATCACATTTTTTAAGAAATAACTCACCGTGCTCACTTTCCAGTTAAACTCCAGGAACATTTTTAAAATTCTTTTGGCGCCATAATTTTTTTGACTTTATTAAATTTTATCTTCAATTTATAGGTAAATCATTTTTAATAAAGACAACACAAAACTAAATACATTGATGTGTGCTGGCAGTTTTTGTAAGCAACGTAAAACATCGGATTGTTTTTTGTTGGAACCAATTTGACCAAGAAACTATTATCCGATTATTGGACAGTGGCTTCGAAGACTGCTAGCTGTAGTAAATAACCATGGGGAACACATCCATAATGAATTTAGTTAATCAATTTTAACTTGTTTTATTTAGTTAAAAAATTTGTATTACCTTTTGAATAAAAAAATAAATTTAATTAAAATACTATGTACACCCTTTCAGAATGTCATTTATTTTGCTCCACACGCTTAACCCCCCAAGTTTTTCCGTTAGGCTTGTAAATTTTATTTAAATATGCACTATTAATATAAGTTTCAAATTTCATCAAAATCGGAACAAAACTAAAAAGTTATTTAGGGTCAAAATTGCTTCCAAATAAGCCAATGAGTCAAGAAAAGCCAATTATCACTTTTCAATAATGTATGTTTCCACCACGGTTCTGGATGCCACCTCTCATTCGATTTGGCATAAAACTGATCACGTTTTGGATGTTCCTCTGGGGAAAAGTGGCCCATTCCTTAATGAGAGTATAAATATTGCTCCGTATTTTATACTCTACAGGTGCTATCGAACCAAAATAATAATTTATTGGTTATATTAATATATTGAATTGTAATCAAAATATCAAATGTGCACATAGTGTGCATTATCATTTAATAATAGCGTATAATAGATATCAATCATTTTATATGTAGAAGCACTGAAAACTATTTATAAATGGCAACGGTATTTACATTTCTCTGTCTTATGGCTCTACGTCAAACTTTAAATGCTGTACTGTTCCATGTTTATTTACTGTTTACAGTAGATGAGGAAAAGTTGTTTTTCGATATTTTGGCTATATTTTGAATGATATTTTTGAAAAGTGAAATAAACATATTATATTAATGGTGCTACAGTGTTGCATTAGCAAAAAAAAAACGAAATATTTACATCCCGATCTCTCATTTCATTTGTAAGTACTGTCTATTTACATTATTTAAGATGAGGAACTGAAGAAGCGTGTTTGTTTACATTTTAAAACATGTCTTTCATAGGGGTTTATTCATGTTCATTAATGTATTAAATAAGATATGAGTTCTTGAAATTTGTAGACATTTTTAAATTCTAAGTAGACATCATATGATTAAAAAATATCTGTTTAGTACCTTTTTAATATAATATTTCTCATGGATACAAATAAATTAGTGAAATGAATAAAATTCATTTATTTTTTTATGTAGGTTTCCAAATAATATTGACGATCGAACTATTTGGGTAGCAAATTTAGGAGAAAACATAAAAAAATTTTATTGTAGCATTATTTTATACTATTACCTATAAAATTACCCATTAAAAGATTAACTTGAATTCAACTATATTTTATTTTATTAATTTTAAAGCAAATAAAATTATTTATGCGCCATTCGGGGTGAAGTTGACCTAACAAGTAATTTATTTTTCCTGAGTTCGGTTTTTTAAAACACCCGATATTTTTTCTACTAAAATTATAGTTATACACATATTATACAAAAAATATATGAGTCATTTTATTTTGTTCTTTAGCTGAAGTTGAAAAACGGTCAACTACACCCCATTTTATGGTATATTTAAAATATACGTTAAAAAGTAGGAACAATAATATATGAACTTTGATCAAAATAAAAAGCAGATATTGAGCACAGTTTTATTAATTTAATCTTGCCAAGTACTTTCGTTTTCTAAAGCATCATCAGGGGCATTTCGTCAATTGTGGCCTATCCAACAAGAATAAAATGTTATAAACATAAAATTAAACATCACACTACACTACACAAGATGATGTTTAATTTTATGTTTATAACATTGTATTCTTGTTGGATAGGCTACAATTGACGAAATGCCCCTGATAATGCTCTAGGGAGCGAAAGTACTTGGGCAAGATTAAATTAATAAAACTGTGCTCGATATCTGCCTTTTATTTGATCAAAGTTCATTTATTCGAGCATTCAACCTTATATCAATTTACAATAATATATATCGTTGTTCCCCTTTTTATTTCAACTTTGTTAAATGATTCAGTACATGTTGGTTACAGTATAGTTGGTATTAATTTTATATCTCGCTGGTTAAGATTTTTATTAATAAAAATTTCATATTTTTACATTAGTGCCTAATCGACTGACTGAATATATTCCAAGTTTTGTATCATATATTTTATTGGCTACCAGTTCCAGAACTCTGCTCTTTAAAATTGTTTGTTTTTAGTTTACAGCCATCACTTGGATCAAGGAATTTGTTCAACTCTCTGGACCCGCTATGTTGCCGTACATGTCGGGAATATTTACAGCAGTACTGCCGTGTCTCTCTTACGACACAGAAGCTCGGAGAAGTATCCTTCTTTTTTATATTTAATTTTTCTCTGCCTGTTTTAATATGTATGTTGCGCTTGTTACTAATTTATGCTTTGCACACTAAATATCATTAACCTATTGATAAAGCAAACGTTTCACCTTGATATTAATATGGGTTTTGTTTCATTAACTATTATAATACATAAATACAAATTCGTAGACTTTTCAGATACAGTTTTCAAATATATAACTTGGTAGTTAAAAAATTACTCATATGATATTAAAATCTGTAAACTAATTTTCGAAACCAAATTCAGATTTTTACTTTAATGTCCAAATTCAGATTAAAGCCAAAATCTGAATTTGGTTTTGAAAATTAGTTTACGGATTTTAATATCAGATTTCGCTATTTGCGTCCATTCGAAGCCATATTAGAGTTGCTTCCTAAGACAGAAGAGATTTATTTTCACGTTCAGGAACTAATAATCTAGTAGTGAGTGGTGTTGGTTTCATACAACCTTTTACTAACCGACACGTCTCATTGAAGGGCACGTCTACTTGTTTAGTGTCAACAGATTTATTCCATACCAACCATAGGTATTCAGTAGGCACATAGGGTCTGTGACGTTTTCCACAGTGCTTCAGCACACTGAATTAGCACATGCCATGTTTTTTTTTAAACAGAAAATTACCGTTTGATATAAAACAATCGTACTGCTGCCAATTGGTTTATTGTACTTCTTCCATTGATTCCCGATAACAATTCCAGAATTCTGAACCCCTGTACCAGTTTGTACAGGTCTTGTGGATAGATACCACATGTTTTGGAGTCACTTAATAGTCTTCCAAAAAATTTGCCGCCTGCGATCTATTGCTTTGCGTTTATGCAAGATATGGTTAACTATTTCAGATTCTCTACAGATTCTGTAGTTTAGGTCTCCATGAAGTTTTCTGCAATACTTCAGTTTCCTTAGCGCAGTTTAGTTTTCTTAGCGCATGTACTTCCAATATACATTTTGTCATATTCTTGACCGGATATACGTTCACAGTAAGATTCATGCTGTGTTCGGATTCAGGCTTTTTTTTTGGTCGCGGACGTTGCTTTTACAACGTCAGTTTTCTCTTCTGGAAACTTCGTAAGCTTTTTTATTACCGTATATTTCCAGATGACTTGGAACCCATACCAAAGAGCCAGCCGTTTGAAATCTCTCTTGTTAATTTCTCTTACACAGTGCAATATGGTATAAATCTCTGCCAGAAATGCAGAGGTATATTGACCTCATGGATATTGTCTGAATAAAAATGTTTACATTTCCAATACTACTAATTATTTCTTCACCCTATCCTTCTGCAGTTTTAGACGTGACTGTGTAGCAGGTATAACTACAATCTAAGTTTTGTGTTTCCTCTACCTTATTCCTATCGTGGAGAGAAGTCCACTTGAAAAGATTAGTACCATCTGGGTACCACGACTTATAATGGAAGGGAAAGTGGAAGGAAGAAGAGGTCCAGGAAGAAGAAAATGCTCCTGGTTGAAGAATGTAAGAGACTGGACAGGCATGGACACACATTCGATACTAAGAACAGCTCAAAATAGAGAGCAATTTGCTGTAGTTACAGCCAACCTTCAGTAATGGAGAAGACACCTTAAGAAGAAGGGTACCATGTGGTCAGAAATTATCATATGTTCGGGTTTAATGATTTCATTTATGATGTTACTATGTGCTGATCTAACCATTGCGTTGCTCAGATTCTCTCGCAGTCTAAAATATTTCATTATCGCCTTTCTCCTCATAGTAATGTGCAAAGAAGGACTGCATCTTCTGGCCACCATACCACTGATGTATATGTAATTGTTGGTTTATACAAGACTAAACTATGTGTGCGCGCTGAATAAGCTTCACCTCCCTTAATAAGGGGAGATGTCTACAGGACCGTGTTAGTTTAAATACGTAAAACATACACACGTTAATTAAAGAATTAAAATATAAAGTGAAAATAATAAAAGACTACTTAATACAAAAATAAAAATATATGTGGAGGACGTAACAACAGGTTTATTGAATACCATTTCGCTGTTGATGCTTGTGTTCTCTGGATTGCGTAAAGATGTATCTTTTTAGTTACTTTTCATAAATACATTTAGGCCAAGACTTAAAAAAGGAAGTTTTAATATAGAACAATAATTCTTATAATAATTATATGGACAGACATGCTACCTATTTACGATTTCAAGATGCTGACACCGTACATCGCAGTATGTAACTGGGGTAATCGAAGGCAAGGCTTCATATTTGCTTTTAGTTTTGCTTATAATCTAAGTTTGAACATTTTTTATGCAAATTACAAGTTGTTATTCTTGAACTGTTGTAAATAATTATCTTGATCTATATTTGCTTGAAACCGACATATCCTTCTCACTTTCCTGACCAGAATCACTAAATCTTACCAGGCAGCCAGGATAATTTCTTTTGGTTTATTCTTTAGATGAACTTTTAGGCGTGGTTGTATTGTAATAATTTGTTAAATACTTTAAATAATATTTTAAAGAAATATTTAAGTAAACATTATTATTTTTACATGGGGAACATTCGGCTAGTAGCCGGAAGGTGCTCATACAAGCTAGCTGAATGTTCACCACCTGCACTTTGGATTCAGTCTGTGCAAGATAATTTACGAGAAAAAGTATTTGAGGTATTGTTTTGCCATAATAATATCATAGACATTAAATACAAATGGACTGACTGCTGCAATAGAGTCGCGTCCTCTCAGTGCGACAGAGAAAACTGATGTAAAGCAGTCCCTGCATCTCGTTTTAATGGGCAGAGTTTATCGACCACGTGACCTTCTAATCGGTCATTTAGGTCACGTCGTCGATAAACCTGGAAAATTAGAAAGTGTTCTTGTCGCAGTCTATTTGTATTATATGTCTACGAATAATGTAGGTGACATCCTAACCTAATACGTATTAGACGAATCAAAGATCTAAGGCATATATTGTATACTTCACTCAGAAAGACTCACTAAAAATCGTAGGAAAGCCAAGAACAAGTAGTTCGGCAAAGTAACGATAAATTCCAACCTTTTATAATAAGACTGGCGCGAAATTTAAATAGAATTCGTAATTATTAAGGATAGTTGAATATTCCCTATTGTCGAATGTAGTCTTTCCCCTATGTGCATATATTGGCACGCTTAAGTTCAAAAGTATTCCTGTTCACTCCTTTGGCACGATGTAAGGTTCTATAAAATTCTGCCTAGAATACAGAGGAAAATTCTCCTAGTTGAACGTGGTTCTAGTGATGAAAAACTTTTTGTAATACCTGTTTTCATAAAAAGCTACTTTATTCGTGACAAATTTTTTAATTTTTTGTTAATAAAAAGTTTTTCATGTGGTTCCAACTAATAGGACAAACTTCCTTTTTTATTGTTACTGAGTGTATTCAACTTTTTGAAGCAGTGTATTTAGATACATTTAAAATACATAGATAATAAAGGTTTTGTAATCTACATGCAATGATACACTTCGCTGGTCGCTAAAAATAATATGTGATTTAGATAACGCTCACAATACAGAGTAATCAATTCAGAATACTATATTTATCAGTTGCATTTTTAAAATTTAGTAGTAAATTTCTAATTTATTTGTACATATTTGTTTATTTATTATTGAAAAATATTTTCTATCAATGTGTGTTTTATGGGAATCGTAAAATCGTAAAACCCAATATCTTAAATAGACATTGCGATAGAGTGTAATCTGGAAATGCAATTTACTGGCGCGCCGTGACGTTTTAGAAGTACAGTTTGATTAAAAATATACACTAAACACGTTTTTGGTACGTTAAAAAATATAAATGAAAGTAAATTAGTATTGTAAAACATTGGAGATGTGGCAGACCTGGTGAAAGCTTCGGTTAATGGTGGATGGTTAAGAAAGTTCATATGAGGTATGACTCAAATAAATTAGTGCAAAATATAGAATACATAGAATTGCTCGATTTGCAGTAGATAGGAAATTGGAGTATTTAAGGAACTTATTCTTATATTTAAAAATCCTCTATAAAAGGTATATAATTATATACCTTTTATAAAGGATTTTAAAATATAATTTTTTGTAACACATGGTGTACAGCCAGCTACAGGAATCTGGATACTTTCCATTCTCATTGCTTTCTTAATTGTATCCCAAGACCTCTGTATTTGACAATCTTATCGTTGTATTTAACACGCAGATTATTGTTGTTAGGTCTCGTTATATCAATAGGTATTGCTTGTCTAGTTAGTTTGTTAACTAGTAAGAGATCTGGTCTATTATGTGTAACTGGTTGTATCAGTACTGTGGTTGTCATTCTTCAGAATATTGTCAGGGACATAGTAATAAGGGAGTTGGTTGGCTAGGAGCAGTTCCATCTTTTGATGCAGTATATTTCCTACTGAGTCATGCCGTTCTTTATATTTAGTTCTAGCAAATGTGTGATAACCCCTGTAAGATATTGGATGGTTTCTTGAGCTTGCCATCTATACAAGTATTTGTCGTTTTGCATCTGAGCATCTTTAAACGATATGTTTCAGTTCTCCGCCAAAACCCGATGCACCTTCTATTTGGCCTTGGTATACTCAAGGTTCTTGTATCAAGACAACATCGAACCTTAGCAAAAATAAGTTCTGCAAAAGCTGCTTTACTGTGCTAAGGGTTCCTATATAGGACTCTGATGATTGAGACCTATTTGGGACATATACTGAGTCCGCGACTATGGTAGCTCCTCTATTTGTTCTCTCTATATTTTTTTGCGTGACCAAAAGTCACGAAGTTGGGACGAAATGCTGTGAGCCAAGAGCCAATGAGAACTTCGCCAGAAGTAGTGTAGACTACTTAGATTAGCACGGTAATTTATAATTGGTATATCCTGAACCTGAATGGCGAGGATAATGGAGGAAACCCTTTATATTAGAGAACGTTTTTCGCGACGTTAACCTATAGTTAGACGCTGTATTGTCTACATAGTCGAGGCTAATTTCATTGCAATGTCACTCA